TCTGCGTTTCTGCCACCTGTAATTGAAGCCATGTCTTCAATTGGCCTCCAACACACCTCATCAAGGTGGCAAATTTGATCGTCTCATCAAGGCGAGCTCCAGTCTTTTCGTACTCGGCGTAGGCCTCTTCCAACTTGAGGAGCTGGTTCAATATGCTCCCCTTCCTCATGTCAAACTGCCCCCACTCCAAAATCATCGTCAACAGTCCAAGGGACCTGTTCTTGCTCGTCGGTTCCAGGCTCTGGATTAGAACTCTGTAGGCTTCCAGGCCATTTGAGTCCTTCACCTGCTTGATCAGAGAGAGGGGTCGATGACGTAGGAGAGAGGCCAGCAAGGCATAGAGGAAGCTGCCTCGCTTACGCTCTTCATCACTCTGCAGCTCCGTGGTGATCTCCCTGTCCAAGTTCGACCTGAGCTCCTTGATGTCCTCAACGTAGTCTGCATCCATTGATGACAAATACTGCTCCAGGCTCCACGAAAAATCTCTCCACTGTGTGATTTCTTCCTCCCTCGACTTCGGCTCGAAAGAGGGAGGTCGTGGAAGAATGCGAAACCAGTTTCTTTCCTCCGGCTTCTTTGACACTGCATCTACTGCAGCCTGAGCAGCTGCACCGGCTGCTTCAACCGCTTGTACCATCCTCCGGGCGATCTCGGCTCCATCGACCAAACCTCCTGCTCCACTCCCAGTGGGAGATACTGGTAGCTGGGATGCTTCTAAACCAGCCATCACCGCTCGATCTCACCCTCCTTCTCTTCAAAAGCGGTGACCTTCAGGTGGTCGTAGGGATCACGGGCAAAGAAGGAGTTTTCTTTGCAAACGGGTTGGCAAATGCATTCGGGTTGTCAAATCCTGGGCTTTGTAACTGTGGCACACAATACCATTTCGGCTGTCAGACAGTCCAGACTATTTACTATGAGGGTTGTCAAAGACTGGGCTCTGTGAGCTGCGGCATGACGGCTGTGTGGAACAGCACTTCATGATGGTTGTCAATCCTGGCACTCGATGAGGGTTGTGGTTGTGAAATCCTGGGCTTTGTGGGCTGTAGCGCAGCACTTCATGACGGTTGTCAATCCTGGTCCCTGCAGGCTGTAGCACCGTGCACGGATCAGCATAGAAGGTTAATTCCCCGGCCTGCACTGTCCTACATGCCACGCCTGCCATTTCTTCCTAGTAACTGTGATGCACATTAAAATGGCATAAGCCTTGCCCCCGGCCATGACATGGAGCCTGATCAACTCCACTTCAGAATCAGTGAGTCTGTATACATCGTTTTGATTGGTGTATTTTTTGCCCGTCGTTGATCGTACCACACATTGTTCAGTGAGTTCAGTGAGCCAAGTGGGTCAGCGGCACGGCTGTGTATTTTCAACTTAAGGACCCACGCGCCATAGCAGCATAACACTCAAACGCACACAGCACACATACGACCAGTGGACCAGTCACAACAGTCTTGCGTCTGTAAAAACCAAACAGTTTAGGGGAGCAAAAAATTTAGTACGGAAACTAGGGCCTCTCAGCTACGCTGCGGCATGCTTAGTTGGTTAAATAAGTTAAATGCGGTTCTGATTGGTGGCCGATGCGCTCATCAAACGCATGGTCCCTGAAGAGTTTCCGCTGCAACGTCGAAACTTGTTTGTTGTTTAACGTTGGTTAGTGTTTTCTTGCGCTTCGTCACCTACAGGCTTGGGTCTGTCATCCCCAGAAACACAGACAAAATTGCCTTCCAGAGGCAACAGTTGGGCCCGTTTGTTGGATTTTGCAGGCGCATAGTTTACGATTGTTGCTGAACATTGGACGGGCGATGTTCAAACATAACTTGAAACAAATAACAATCGTGTATGAAGGCCATTGGAATTAGGATGCGCTTGGTCCCCCTGGTACCTCTGCAGTTGTCTTCTTGTGGCCGCGTATAGGCATTAGTTAGGTTCCCTTTCCTTTTAAACATCGGTTTTCTTTCTTGCTCTAGCCTAGCGCGCAACTACGGCGAACTAAGGGCGAAAGAGTGCAAGGGTCCATCAAGACGCACCTCAAGAACCAAACAACAATGGAAAGAAAAACATCCCCAAGTGTTTTCCATTCAAATTCCACGTTGTCCTATATACAGCACAAATGGCAACAGTTGCATTCCGTTCACTGATGCATCAAAAGCTGTGTCAAGCCTTTCTCGGTCTTGGTATGTGAAAACACAACTACAGCACATTGAATGTCAAACAGCAAGGCTTGGCAACAGCGCAACAAGTGTCCAAAACCGGAATCTGCACTGTGACTTTGCACCAAGCGCTCCAAAAAAAACGAGCTGCGAACCAGATCCCGCTCAAAAGCTGAGAACGATTGAGCCCTGAGACGAAAATACTTGGTGAGCGCAGTGAGAAGAGCCACATCACACTCGTCGTCCACCAGTCTGTCATTTCCAGGCCACCTCACAAACAACACGCTTTTGTCTGAAGTGCTGCACTTCACAGACGTCAACACCAGCCACAAAGCTTTGAATGGAGCAACGCGAGCAGGATGGTTCATCCGACAAACTTGCCAAGCACATTCACGTAGAGCTTCAAAGTCGTCGCAAAGGCCCGGTTCCTTTTCCACAACCCTCAACAGAGGCCGCACAAACTCAGGCCAGTCAGCAAACCTCATGGCCTTTGGAGCGCTTGCTGCAATAGAGGCTCGCGTTCGAACAGCTCGTAGTTGGACATCACCGATTTTAGACACCAACTCGCATGCTGCACACTGCAAAGTTAAAGGTTGACTCTTTCAAGAAAACTGAACACAACAAACTAACTGTTGATTGCACTGCTTGGTCACTCTTTTGCTCTTGCGCTTTTGCCGCTTTGCTGCCAAGAAGGCTCTTAGTCTACGTCCTGTGGATCTTCCAAAACGACATCCTCTTCCACCTCAGCCTCTTCCTCACCCTCTAACAACTCATCCTTCTTGGCGTCACAACCTGTTTCACCTTCAAGCCCTTTGGGCTCGCCCTCAACCTCTTCAACTTTGCCATCAGCCAAGGACTCACCGGCAGCAGGAGGCTCCACGTTGCCTGAAACTCACCAAACAATACACAACACCCCAGGAAAAAGAAAAAGAAATAGACAGATATTGATGCGTCAGAATTTCCAAAACTTGGGTTGTGGCAATCTCCACTCATGAACTCTGCAAACAATGTGTCCTGCAGCACGCAGGGCCGGGGATGACTTCTGCTGCCTGAATGAGAAAAAACTGGGGTAGCGACTGAAACATCTCGGACGTATGCGACACTCTTTCCCTTCACCAAATTCTCCCTGCAAATCTCCTCGGCCACCGCAAAAACATCGGTCACTGAGGGCAACAAAAGACAACTCGCGTTGAAATTAGGGTTCCTGCCGCAATCTCCTTCAAGCGAGCCCAATTGCGCACTGCCAGCGATCCAACCTCCCACTCACACCAGCCCACGAAAAACAAAATGTCTGGAAACATGCCTGAAAAGCTTCATGGCCATCGCACGAGCAGGCGTACTTGCCGGATTTCTTGTAGAAGTAAAGGTTCGAAATCTTCCTCTCACCTCGACACAACGACTAGTAATAACACATGAAATAAATGAGCAAAAGGCATGAAGCACTTCCAGCAAAAAGGATCTTCAACAACATCAGGGCTTGAATTCAATTCCAGCGGTTCAAGCCTCCTTCTCCATGGAGCCAGGATTCGGGACGCGCCCTACGCCTGCCTTCTGACTTCGCTTTTGGCTTTGGGTTTGGCTTGGGAGAGGCCGCGGGACGCTTCAGGGTCTTACGCTTGGACTCCGCATCAGCAGCAAGTTCAGACGCAAGCTCAGCGGGAGGTTCAGCAGGAGCAGCATCAGCGTCCTTACCAGCAGGCTTCCTCAGGGCGCTCTTACGCTTGGGCTCTGCAGCAGAAGTTGAAGGTGTTGCGGGCGCCTTGCCCGATTGATCCTGACTATCGGGTTTCTTCTTGGGCAAAGTCTTTTTTGGAGCAGGCTTTGCTTTAACTGGGTTCTTTGGTGTTGGTTCACCTTTTGCTTTAGCCTTTGCTTTTGGCTTTGGGGCTGGCTTTGGGGCTGGCTTGGCGGCAGGCGTAGTGCCATCGTCCTGCTGCGACGCTAAGCACATCACTGTAAAAAAACAATGTAACATCTTCTTACAATCAATTGAATTGAAGCATGGGTCCAGCCTGGCCTCTGACATTGACAAGGTATCCACAGATTGAAAAATCGCCATTTTTGCGACTCCCTCCGCGTCTGACAGCGCACACGCTTAGCCTGGATTATACTCAAGTGCTGAGAGCAAGACAGGACCTGCGTCAAAAGCAAATCAGAAAGTAGGGCCGAGAGCCTAGACTACCAAACTGTAAAACTGTTACCACGCCGCGTCGCTGGCCATTCCAACGCCAACACGTATTGACATCAAACTGCACCACAGTACAAGCCAGTTATTTTTTATGATATCCGAACTGCCAGCAATCCAAAAACATCTACGACAGCTTGCACCATGCCTTTGATGGCACAGTGAGAAATCCGAGCAGAAAAATCTTTGGCTTGAGTCCGATCACCTTTGGATTTCCAGCGCCTGTTTGCAGTTGGACCTGTGCCCAAAAGAAGCTGAATGGCTTCTACCTTGCTTGGGAAAAAAACACAAACTGCTTCACTTAACATTGCCTCCCACACAACCGCAGCCATATTGGACCGTGGCAATTTGTCCATGTGACTCACCCACACCGCTCCAACAGTAGCATGCCTCAAGAACAAACGATTGGGCCACTCAGGCCAAGAAGCAACACATGGAACTTTACATGAGTGAAGGTGCTTTGGAACCTCTCCGTCGCGCAATGCATTCGGTAGGAACACATTGCACTTGCCACTTCTTGCTGGCGTGAGGTTGTAGCGATATGGCACAGGTAGGGGTTCCTGATTCTCAACCGCCTGGCAAAATCCACAAGGGACCGAGGCTTCACTGGCGAGTCCAACGATTTGAGGAAAAAATCTAGTCAACCTGTCAACCTGGTATTTGACTCAGGCCTCATACAGCTTCTGGCTCACTTCGTGGTTAGCAATCTCAAAAGTGGCAATGCCATTGCAAACACAGATTTGGTGAAGGTACGCTGCCAGCGACATTGGTATCTTTTCGGAGGATACAATCGTGAGATCGTTGGCAAACCGAAATGGGATGCCAGCCAACTCCTTTTCGCCAAGTCCTTGGAAATTCAGATTCGAGCTTGCCGCTCTGAGCGTGGGCAACAGGTATAAAATAAGCCATGTAATTTGGTAGAAGGTGTAAAGTTGACTCAGCCCAACACCGCTCACTACCTTCTCTTCGAAGTTGCCAAGATTAAATCCGCACAATTCACAGGCATCCAGCTTCGTCTCACAATCTCCTTCGTTCCCCAGCCACAGGTTGAAGTCTGTGTCAATCACAAGGGCAGGCTTGATACCTTTCGCTTGAACATAAGCTTTCCTGGTGGGAGACATTTTTCAACAAAATCGCAACACCCTTCCCCACAACTCCAAACTTTCTGCGCAGCGTTGGCAATGAACCAACACTGCTGCTTACAAGGGAACATGGCAATGGATGGGTTTGTTTTCATTGACGACTCGACGACGCCAAACAGAAAATGGCCACCCCCGAAAAGAGACAGAATTGGTCCTGGTGATTGTCATGTCTGCGTCCTTCACAAAGGTTGCGTCAATCACCCTGGTCACGTCCAAAGGTGAAGCCCCTCCATCAATGTTGAAGTCTGGCCGTCCACGTGCCCGCTGGTTTGCCCCCTGTCCACCCTGAGCCTGTCGACTCTGACCAGCACCTGCGCCACCGGTTACCGCAGACTCTGGGAACGCAGCAAGAAACTCCTGCTTCAACTTGAGAATTTCATCATTCGCTGATGTGCCCGTGGCATATTTCTCCAACACCGAAGCAGGGAAGAGCGGGTGGCCGTTGCTCCAAGTTAGAAGGGTAAGCTCTGGATCAGCCACAGCCTCCTGTGGCCGTGTTTTTGCCGGAGCATCTTTCGAGGCGTCCCAATGTGAATACACCATGTTCTCCATGGCCGTTTGGACGTCCTTTTGCTCTTCACGGGCGAAGCCAATGTAGACAATCTGTGGGCTGGAAGTTGGGTTGTCAAGATGCCTTTTGAGCACAGCCCGACCGAACTCCATGTGGCGGTTGGGCAAGAGGTCAGCAAAAACCAAAACATCTGAACGGTCCATATCCATGCCCCGCACATAGTTCTCTACAATGTGATTGTGGGCCGGAACTCCTTTCCTTGGAAAAAGATGTCTGGTCAGGCGAGTCTCGTGGGTTCCTACAAGTCCTACAGCTCCACTTTGCCACACATTCTGGTCTATTGCCCCAGTGCCCAGTACCCAGAAAATAGAACTAGAAACAAAATTGCAAAAACGTGCGCCCAAATCTTGCTGAAGTTCTGCTCCGTTCGGGAAGCTGCGCCAGGCCTGCTGCCATCTTCTGTGTCGTAGCCCAGCATCTCGTTCACACGGATAAGCGGAGTGTCACTCACTTGGTTCGTCTGGGCAACAGAGCTCTGGTGCCACGCATTGGTCTCATGGTTGGTGGAGGATACAAATAGGCAAGGGTGAACTGTCTGCCTTTTGTCACTGGAGCTGCCGCCAGGTGGCTTTTGGAAAATAAGCGCCACATTTCGGGCGATGTCCAAGGCATGGCTCATCATGAAATCTTCCAGGTGCCTGCGATGTTTTACCAGTGCCTGCACAGAAGTTTGCGCTTGATGGAGCGGCATTTGGAGATGTCCTCCACAGCGGCCTGACATGGCCAAGACAGCATGGAAAGCCTCCAAGCAGGAAGTCAAGTAGGATGTGTTTGCTGGCCAAACGCAGCAGTCAATCGAAGCAAGGACGAACCTGAATCGCTGACTGATTGAAAAAACTACGGTTGCCCGAAATATATTGATGAAAGCCCTTGCTAATCCACAGATTGCTACAAAATGTGCTCACCAATTTCGCCAAAAAACACTTTTCCCACATCGTCCGTCGTCTCCCACTGGGACAGGAACTTTGCAAGCTCTGGAAACAAAGGCCGAGCAGTCTTATCCGGAGGAAACACCAGCCTGCAATGTTTGTCCATAAACTCCTTCGTGTAGGCCTGGCCCTTCCTTTGCACGAAGGGAACTTGGACTGCCCAGTTTGTGGTTTCAAATTTCAACAAACAAGTTCAGACAAGGGACGCTTGGCGTGCCGCCAAATACTTTTTGTCCTTTGCTGCCTCCATCGCTGCCTGCTGTTGGGTAGGCATGCGGGCCCTGAGCGTCTCCATATCATGTTTGAACTGGTGGACCAGGTGCTCCACATTCGCCAGCGCAAGCTTCTTCTCAATTTCGGCTTCGTGTTCTTTGAACTCTCGCGCTTTGCGGGCTTCTACAGCTGACACGGTGCTCCTGTAGACGCAAAGGCCGGCAGAATAGGCGCACGAATCAATAGTTTTTGCCTTTGAGCTTACAAAGTTTAACTTGTGCTCACTTCACAGTCCTGACAAACCGGACATCTTTCAAGGAGATTGGAGGGACACCGGCTTCCATGTAGCTGAGAATGTCATGGTCAAGAACACTGAGCTTGAATTGATTTGCAATCTCTGGCTGTGCAGCAGCAAAATCGGCTTGTGGCACTTCTTTTGAGAAGCACTCCATGATCGCCAAAAATCCGCCGCATGCTGCGTGGATGGATGCCACCTCCTTCCATGTGAAAGCCTTTTTGAGGTTTGGCGGCATGCGGTCCCAATCTCCCATCAAGCGCTCCAGAAGAAGCTTCACCTCATAGACAGACAAGAAAAGTCACGATGGAAACCCGGGCACCAGTTATTAAAAACAAACACATCACACCAGTACAAGAGAACAATGAAACCATTCAACTGCAGGCTCCAGGGTGTGATATTTCTGAAGTCAGCCGAGTTGCCAACCTATCATCCGCTCCATTCGTCAAGAACTCGCCCCAAGACTCAAGGCCAGGCACAGCGCTTGTGTACGACAGGTTAAAGAAATCCCGCGCTAAGACCTCGTGTGTGAGGAATTGCCGCATGCCTCGACATCGGGTGGCCTCGCGCAAGGCCTCGACCATAGGCTTGGAAATCTTTGTTTGCAGATTCGAGATGGCTTCGCTCTCCAGTTTCCCAATGGAGAACACCTTTGCCACCCTCGAGGCTTGGTTCCATTCCTCGTTGGGCCATTGGGGAAGGAACGCCTACACAAAAAGCATGCCTACTAGAAGCCCACATCATTGTGAAATCAAGGCTATGTCCCTGCAAACTGCGCACGAACCGGTCCTTAAAATCGGACGGCTCTCCACTCTTGGCAATCACTTCCATTTGCCTCAAGAAGTTCATCGCGTTCGGAGCCCTGCGGACGCCCACGTTGGCCATCGTTATGCCTTCGCATTCGCAGGCCAACATGACACAAACGTAAAGTAGACATGGACAGACACGAAGCTAAACCACAAGAAACGTTTTGGCTAACTTGACTGACCATGGCGTCATGCTTTGAGAGCAACAGCTTGCCTCGGGAAGCAAAAACCGCGCTTTTGGTGCTGTCGAACTTGCCCACAGTTCCATGCACAATGCGGAGGGAGGCCTTCCCAACTAACGACTATCAAACACAGATCGTGGGACTCGAAACATCCCTTGCCTTGAAGTTGTGTGTGAGTTCATCGAATGGGATCTCCAAAACCCGGATCGCTTCGCAACAGATCAGCGCTGCCAAAGACCGCCGCCACCCTTTCACAAAGGCCACTGAAAATGGCCTCAACATCTGGGGTCCTGAAGGCAATGAGACATGTGATTCCCTATCCAAGAAATGACAAACTGCAGGCAACCATTTGAGGGCGACACCATCAGCATCTGGATGCAAATGTGGCAGCTGCACGTATTTTGCCTGAAGCCACGCGTCCGTTGGTGGCCACACGCTCAACTTCTCGGTGCCCGGCAGGTCGGCGTCAGTGAGAAACCTTTGGGCAGGCACAACTAATAGACACAACACAACACATTGACACGTCAGTGAGTTAAAACAGGCACATCACAACACATAACAACGCAAGCCCTACGTCTGTAGAGTGAGCTGAGAGGCCCCTGGGATAGCACCAGCTCAATCAGGTTGACAGTGTCAAATGGGTCACATTGGCCCGGGAGACCGAAGTCCGTGCGATAGCCTAGCTGCCACGGGCGCAATAGTTTCCCACCAGGTTCCAGATTTACGCTGTACTCAGTCCTGCAAATCAAACGCATACATTGTCAGTTAGCAAGCCGCTGTTTAGCATAGAATAGTCGGACTCTGAACAACCCTCGTCATTCACGCTTTCAGCCTGCCTGCTCACAGGCGGAAATGACTGGTCGATCCACTGCGCAAAGCCTAAGGCATCCGCCTGAAAAACCGTGGAAGACACAGGGTGATGAAAAAGTGTACACAGCACGCTGCAAGGGCCTGTTTTGCATACTGTTTCATTAGGTATCGGTCTGGTCCACCAACTGGCACCACCACCTGCTCGAACCTTGCCAAAGTTGACTGCGTTTTTCGGGTTGCAAGCTAAGAACAAACACAAGGGCTGCAACTAACCGCGCTGAATTGAGTTGAGTAGTTTAAGCCAAACAACCACGCTGTGATCTTCCCGATGTGAGGATGTTCATCTGCAATCTGAGAAGGCTTTGCGTTTGGTCCCTTCCTTTTCGAGGGACCTCCACCGCTCCCTACGGAAGGCCGTTTGCCCATTGCTGGCGCTCACCCACCACTCTTGAAACAAGCTGGCAATTACAGCACAAGACTAAGTTCAAGACTCACTGCACATTGCACAAACATCTTGAGAGAGCTTGACAAAACAAGCGCAAACACGCTTGGCTCCTTTGATCCACACCTGCAGCCGCAACAATCCGCAACCAAGACTGCCTGGCGTACAGGAACCCTTGAGCCGGGTGAGAGACAAAGTCTTGCCAGGTATGAATATAAGCGGTGCGGTGCATGAAACCTTTTTCAACAACGCGGCCATGCAGCGTCAAAGTTTCACCCATCTAACTTGGTTCTTGCGCACAGATTTCAAAACTTTTGCCTTTGGGTAAGCCTTTGGATTCTCAAGGACCCACGCATAAAGAGATCTGGCTTTTTGAACCAAACAGTTTCAAATGTTGACGGCCGGGAAGAATTGTGGCTCCGTCCCAGCAAACAAGGTCACAGAAAAGTTTGTGCCGGTGACAATTACTTGGCAGCCACAGAAAGCGGTCATGGTGGTTCGGAGGTGGCAAAAATTTCAAGCCAATGACACGTCCGGATGGTTGTTGGATTGGACGGATTTGCGCAACCTCGAAGCAATCCACAACGTCTACCTCACCGTGAAGCATTCTCTTTCCTGAGCACGATGTCTTGCTTGTGGCCACCAAGCCTATGCGCTCCCTGATGTCACACCGCCCTGCGCGCAACTCCCAGGTTTTTCCTTCGTGAAGGATCTTGTGCGTCCACTGCTCTTCCAGTAGAAGAGCCCGAACCAGGGGCATGGCAAACTACAATACGAGTGAACGGCCGAATCGGTTGTGCGTTGACCTTTGAAGTTAAATATGTCGGGAAGCTTACACAATCAATTGGCAAATCATCAAGATAAGCACACCCCATCAGGCAGGCAGGCAGGTCCGTTTTCACTTCTGGCTGACACAAAGTCTGGGATGTGTGCAATGTGGTCTTCAACCGGTTGCACCATCATGCGGAGGCTGCAGGTCAATGGTTCTTCCTTCAATTCTACATGTCAATGGAGTTTGTTTCCCTTCATACACGCTCTGAAGATGACCCGCGCAAAAGAACTAACACGGTTTCCTGTACCACATGCTAATTTTCCACTGGGATTGGCCTGCAAAAAAAGACCCCACCAAGTCCGGTTTTCCCCTTCAAAACCCTGCATTTCAGGCAGGTCGAACCAGACTTGGTGGGGTCTTTTTTTGCAGGCCAATCCAAGTGGAAAATTGCAAGTACCACGACTTGGGTAAACCTTTCTAACTTAATCTAATTTAATTGTATTTGACGAAAGGTTTTTGCACACCAAAGAGATTACATTTTCTGTGACACTGCAGAACTCAACCTTTGGCTAGCGAAGCCTACTCAACTTGCAACATAAAGTTCACCCACTCATACCAGCTATTTTGTGTTCAGTTTGACCAGGTGTGGCCTAAAGAGAATCAAAGAGAAGCAAATATGGATTTCCCTTCTTCCAACAGAACCTCAAAATCTGACACTTTTCTCTGCCTTCACACACCTTGCCATTGGTGTCCAATCCAAGGTCGGATCAGACACTTTACCCATGCCTGGAGCAATCCTTTGATTTTTGAAAACAGCTGTGTGCCCGGGTTCAAAAGTTTTAGGTATCCAAAAGTGTCGAATCCAACCTCGGATCCGACACTTTTGGCAACATTTTCGGAAGCTTGGGAAAGTGTCGGATTTGAACGCGCCAGCAATGAAAAGTGTCGGATTTGCGGCTTGGTTAATAAAATGGTGTCGGATCCAACCTTAGATCCGACACTTTTTTGGTGAGCTGAATCTCAAATCCGACACTTTTTGACCGATCAAAAATAGAATCCGACACTCTTTCAGAAATTGGATTTGAAATCCGACACTGCTTGACCGATCGAACATGAATCCGACACTTTTTCAAAAATAGAACCTCAAATCCGACACTTGTTGATTGATCGAAAAGAGAATCCGACACTGTTTCAGAAATTAGATCTCAAATCCGACACTTCGCCGTGCAAGTCTTAGGCAAAAAATCAACAATACCTCCAACGATCTCCAACGCTTTGGGCATGGTGAAAGATTCAGGTTTGACCTGGCAGGTTCTACGTTTAGTTTGTTGGTGGCAAAGCCTTATGGCCTTGAAAGTATTGTTTTCACCATGGGAATCTCAGAAACCTATAGAATTTGAGACGAAAGCCTAAACCAAAAAGTGTCCAAAACAAGGTCGTTTCAGACACTTTTAAGTTGCTACTGCTAGCACGAATCTCTATACTGTTTAAACAAAAAGTACCCCGTAAAGCGAATTGCCGCCGCCAAATTTTTTGACGTTTAGGGTTTAGGGTCGCGTGTCTGGGGTTTCTAAGCGTCAAGGCCTAAGATCCGGTGGTAACTTAAGCTAGGTGTACGTTGCAAAAAGGCTTGACAAACGGAAGAGCCATATCACTGACTTAGTGGATTGCGCGCCCCCTTCGGGGAAACGGCTTTGCCTTCGCAGAAGCCTTGTCCATAGCCCGTTGACTCATTTGGATTGCCTCAGCCCAAGGCACCCCCCTGTTCCACGCTGCAGCCGCTGCTTCAAGCACAATCTTCGATTTGGAGCGGCCAACGTACTTTGCAAGATGCTTTCTGTCGTCCTGCGTTCCACCAGCCAACCTTCGGGGCCATTAGGAACAAGGCAAGGTTTAGGCTTTGTAAAAAGAAAGTGACCCCAAAAACCTAAAACTTACAACGCCCAGCTGATTTGGGTTCCAGTAGCTTCACTTCATTCGGTGGCCGCTCAAACTCCATCGCCTCAGGGCCGCCAAATCCAGAAGCAAGAGACTTGATGGCGCACCTTGGCCAACTCAGGACACTTCACGCACAGAACCAAAAATAGGAAAGGGTGAAACTAAAAACATCTAACAGCAAAAGACTGCCCAGTCGAATCCAAAGCACGCTTTCACATTCAGCAATGGTTCCAATTCAAGTGTGCCCAACACCCAACCTTCTAAGTAGACCGCAGCCTCGTGCAGTTTGTAGGTCCGCATCACAGGCAGGTGTTTAAGCAATTGCTGCTTGAACTCGTCTGAGATAGGGTTGCGGTCTGCGACCCCTGAGGGAGTCTGACAAAATAGAAGTGGAAACTTGGGAAGGCCATTCTTCTCAAATTCAAACAGTGTATATACATATACATAGATTACTGAAAACGTTCCCACAACGAATAAGACCATTCTTGTTGAACCACTTCGCATCACATCGCCCTACGCCTGCTGGCAGCCCAAGTGGAAGGCGGGCTCGAGCAACCTCTCGTGGGAAGTAAGTAGCACAGAAGTTGAAGTTCGTGTCTGCCATGTATTGCTTGCACCTCCCAGCCGAAGCGAAGCAACATCGGAGGACCGGAATGGGGTCTTAGATGGTCCTTGACATTTGACTGGGATGGATTCCAAAAGTTGTTGGACTTGAAAGTTTACTTTTGGAGTTTTTACCGGGCAAACTAAACTTCTAGCCAGGTAAAAACTCCAAAGCCGGCCGTTGCACCAATGCCATCCATAGGTCAAAGACTGTGGCTCCTAGCAACAAAATCAAAAAGTTTCTGCGCAGCCCTAGTCAACGTTTTCACACAAGGACCTCAAGATCACATCGTCGCGATGGCAGGCCAAACCCCAGTATTCGTTGTCGACCACCTGGTTCGCGCCAAGGTCATGCCTCCTGTCAAAGTAAAAAGCGTGAGGGGCTCCTGGCCCCCCTATGCCCCGAATGCCAACAGGCACGCCGCCAGACAAAAAGCCCCGCCTCGGACACGTGAGGCGTGGGTGAACTGGGGTGGCCCACAAAATCGGGGAAATGTTCACAGGAGCTGGAGTTGGTTGTGTCACACGCTTCAGAATCAATTCCCAAACCACTGTTGTAAGGTTTCAAACTGAGGTGGCCCACGTTTGGCTTTAAAACGTTCCAACTCACAGCTAAAGAACCAATCTCTGCATTGATCTAGGAGCACGCAATGCCTCCCAGCTTCGTACGGCCGATCAAGATGCTTGTTCAGCCACGTCTCAATGATGGTCTTGAACTCTGGTGGTCCTATAGCGGTCTTCGCTTTCTTCACGAGGTGGGCTGCTAGGCGCCCAAATAGCTGGTCTATGTCCTCATGACTGTGACCGCTGCGCAAGTTGTGGAGCCGTGCGGCATATACGATACCTCAGATGAGATTTGTTCCAAGACCCTTGGCATGAACAGGCACTTCTTCTACTTTGGGCCGGTATCAATTAAACACCGGTTTTTTAAGTGGGCATTGTCCCCAGAGGACTGTTGAAACAAGACTTTCTCTGAGTCCCACAACATCACCGACTGCCGTATCCCCATGCGCACAACAATGACAGGGTCAACCACTTACAAAAGCAGCAGCCCGATGAGGGTGTCAAATCAATTGAACCCATGCCAGCAGGAAAATGGAGAAATGACTTCCAACGCCTGTCCGCTGTAAGACAATAAATGTCGCCACTTCCAATGCAAGGCGCCGTGGCTAACAAGCATCCCAAGAAAACGAAGATAATGATTATTCTTGACTTCCCTCGTAGTGTTGTCGGATTGGATGTTCAGCGTCACTCTGGACAAGTCCAATCTCTCTGACAAGAGCTGCAGTGCATGAGCTGTGACCTCAATGCACGCGTTGCTGTCCTTGGGCATGTCAGCACTGCTCACCACAAAGAGGACAAAATGCCCGTGAGCGATCAAAGCACTGATGTGGGCCCGTGGCCTCTGTAGCGTGGCCAAGTCTTTCGCCATATATACAGCTCCCCGAGGATAGCAGAATTTAGATTGATCCATACCGTCCAGGATCAAAGTCACTTGAAACGGGGAAGCGAGACGAGAGACACCCCTCAAGTCCCAGTATTGCACACGGTCTAAATATTGTGATTTGAGGTGAGCTTGAAAGAACGCATGTTGCTGCTGCCTTGCAAATAAGTACTGATGCATATCTCTTATGAGCAACTTGTGCCTCAGGCAGGTCGAGCATAGAGCGTGTGAGCTTGAGGGTCGGAACCTCATGTTGGCAAACTCTTGGCGCCAGACACGCCAGAAAGAACTGAAGCTGATGGATTCACGCGGATGCGATGCGATCATCTGCTCGTAGTAGTCTTTCATGCTCCCTGGCGGGAGCCACCTGTCTTCCAACATCTCCCTCCGCTCTGCATTGATAAGCAAGGACCGCGTTCTGGAATTGGGCTTCTTAGCCCTTTTCTTCTTTCTGGATGACGACTGAACTGACTGAGCCTCCTGCTGCTGGTTCGAAGCATCGACTTCAGCATACGGATCCGGCGGCTGCAACTCAATTGTCGGAACCGCACATGTTCCCTCATCATCATCATCCCAAGTGTCATCTCTGATGTCAGGCAATGTCTCTGCGACGCTTTCATACACGCCTCGCAAGTAGCTGACTATGAGAGCTCTGCTTTCGTTTGGTACAACCTTGACCAAACCTTTGCGAAGGTATCGCAAATCTGCCGGAGGCACCGATTTGCCAGATCGAACACTTGCCACCAGCCGGTTGAACCGATGAGAACCTGGGAGAGTATAACGACACTGCTATAAATGACCCCGCTTTTGAGATTTTTGAGGGGAATGCCTTAGAGAGCTCCTTGCGTCCAACTTCTTAAGAAACACGCACGACCAAAGCCTGCGTACCCCTTTAAATGTAATCTTAGCTGCCCAGACCGTAGAGCCTCTTGAAAGCTTCTTGACAAACTCCTTGGTCAAGAAATCGCCACTTGCGACGCACTGGCAGATCTGCCTCTGTCTCCAATTGCTTCCGAATGCCCTCAAAGGCCTGAGACCCACAATTCTATGCGACCACAAACAAATACAAACAATACAAAAACAAACACTGAGACCTATACCATAAACAAAAACGAGCGGTTGCTGTAACCCCGTTCTAGCCATCATTTGAGCCCTGTGGGACATGTAAAATATAATTGAAGGCTCCCCCGCAAGTACACAAACCACAGCTAAGACTAATATTCTAAGGCCGCGCGGCCACCTGGTCTTGGTCCAGCTTGTGAAGAGCGCCCCACTCGGATCGAAAGGTTTGCAGCTGGCGAAAAAGTGGCTGCTCAGTAAACGCTTGTAAACAATTCGCAGCACGGCACTTGCACGGCTTGCCAAGCAAAGATCTGAGCTCTGCTTCATTGGACACAAGGGTCTGTTTCTCTTCGCGGCTTTGCCGCTTGACCTTCTTCTTTCTTTTTCTGGGCTGGGGGCCCTCTTCAGAATCACTCAACTCCGCCACAGCGCTAAAAGCTGATTGGCACACACCTGAAGCTTGAGCTTCCTCGCCCCCAGAACCATCGCTGCTAAGTTGTTCAACAGCGCTGAAAGACATTCAGCGCTGAAAGACGTTCATTGTTAAACCTTGCCTTTTACTAGAAATAGTAACTGTCGTTGATGGAAAGAATCGATTCACGCTGACAGTAAAAGGCCCTGAAGCCACACACACACACACACGCGCTTACAAAAGTCTTGTCTTGCCCTCAGTGAAACAAGTACTGCTACGAGCCCGAACATAAGAATGCGCCGCTGCAACGATGTGGAAAAAACAACTGGACCGTCAAGCTCAATACGGAACAAAACCAGGTGTGAACAGAATTGCGTCCAGCCTCGCGTCAAGCTTGACCAGGCATCCTCGCAAGTGTCAACACTCCACTTGGCAACTGCAATTATAACAGAACCCGCAATGAAAACAGAACCCCCAACCCCCCAAACGCCAGGTTTGGGAAGAGCTAAGAAACGCAAGAAAGATGTCAGTTTGGATTGCCAATAATAAGCAAAATATCGGCCGTCAAGGACGTTACGTTGCTCCTTCGTGAACTGAAAGCTAGAGATCGATCCACATGCCTTCAGCCTCGGCCAGCGGCAAGAAAACATAGAACCGTGGAATGTCCTGTAAGTGGACGTGCGCAGCACCGGAACAGCACGCGGTTAGAATTCACCCTGATTTCCCTGGCACGGTCGGCTGAATGCAAGCCGTTGCTTGCAGCTAAAAGCATGGACAAGAGTTGTCCAAAACCCCACAACCGTAGTTTTTCCGCGACTGTACACACCCCAGTGCAAACCCTATTGAAGCTCCTCGCCAAAAAGGTTCTCCTGACCCCGGAAAGCCATTTCCTGTTTGGCTTCATTTTGGAGGAAATCATGTAATCGCTTTGCCTGTTGCAATCGGAACTGGGTGTCTTCAAGCTCGTCATTCAACCGCTTTGTGGTCTTGTGGTGGGCACAGTACACCAAATCTAGCTCCGCTGTCTGCCTTACCAATGTCTCCTTCAAGGATGCAAAGCTCAAATCTACCAGCGCCACCAGCTGGGCAGTTGACATGGGCAGGAAACAAGCTGAAGGGAGACAGGTTGTAAGGTTTGATCCCTCAAAGACGCTGGCAAGGAGGTGTTGGGTTAATTGACGAAACAAAAATTGAAGACCCCTTCATCCAGGAACTCAAGCTATGGCACAGGCCGTGTTGCAGGCAGCCTGGCAAGTTTCGATAAAAGCGATAAACCTATAATCAAGAAGAGAAAACGCAGGGAGAAGTAACAAGGCTTCAGAAGCTGCAAACCACACGCCCTTTGAGGTGCCAGCCCCATGAAAGAAGCTGCGTAGCCTCGTCCCGCACCAGGGCCCACACACAAACATGGGCCATTCTGAGGCTGAAAACATTGACTGGCGATAAGGCCCCCGCCGAAGCGGCAAAAGCATTGAAAAGTGTGGAGCAGGAGCAGTGAGACCAGCTCAATGAATTTGGGTTGAATGAATTTGCCAGGGTCAAGCAAAAGGAAGGAGTCAATGCCAGAGTTACCAAACACGTCTTCAATTTACGCTATTAGTATCCCAGCTTTGTGAAGCATTAACCCGGGCACATAATGATGCACTTCAAGAAACAGGCAATGGGGAAGCGCGGAGCCCACTGCTTGTGAAAGAACTTCGTGGCGACAAAAGTTCCAATACTCTACACCAAGTCTAGGAAACGGTCATCGTGCAGTGTAGAGCTTTATTTATAGTTGGCTCAGCTGCTCCCTGACAGCTGACAAGATTGAAATCGCTTTGGATGCCTGGAGAGGCACCACCAAGTTGCCCATGGTTTCCAATCGTTTCCTATCTTCTGCGGACTGGCTTGCGTTCAGCCATCTATACACTGGCAGCTTGTTGCTGGCGTTCCAAGGCGCGTCGAAGTTGATGTGCACGTTGAACGTCTCCTGGCAATTGTCTTGTGAACATTTCAAAACTCTTGAAGCCTGAAGATCTTGGACCCCTCGCACTCTGAGAACCTCTGAGAACAGCGCAGGAAAACAAAAGTCTTTCACAGCCGCCAACAGGAATACTCTTCGGCGACCGGCCTAAAGCGTTAATGAGTGCTTTAATGTTGAACCCAGCAACACAATAAAAATGTTAAGGATGATGCAGAAAAGCCCACATTGGCCAATTTCAGACTGGTCCATGTGAGGCATAGATTTCGCTTCTTGCATTCCTGCAAAAGAACAGGCAAACCGCAGGACAGGAGAATGGAAAGCAGCACTCCTTCACGATGAAAAGAAAAAGGTCGCGGCAATCCGTCTGCTTGCTGAGGAGCGCGGCCACGTTCTCAAGCAGAATAGCTTTCCTGCACAAAGATTTACACCGTATAAACTGTGCTGATTGGATTCACTAAAAGAATCAAAAGAAGCTCAAGAATTTCAGCCCCACACTTCTTTGGTAGAAGGTCCCATACCCGGAAGGGCTCGGCCACAAGCCTGCTCCGCTCGTCCCTTAAGCCTGCCTGTCTCCCTGCCGAAGACACGCCCTGCGCAAGCACAAACTCTGCCAACAATTCTATGCCTATGTGAACAGCTTGCAGGTGTGGTGAGAAGTGACTGGCCTGGCATGGAAAGCCAGCCGTCACCACTTCTGCATCAAGAGCAGGACCAACTGGCCGGTAGCTAGTGACGTCGTCGCATATTTTACACGTTGGTAACGCGTTATCCGCCATTCGTGCTTTCAGCACTGAAACGCAAAATTCGTCTCGTTCCACCTCAGCCACGCCCAAGGTTTGAAGTGAAAAAGAAAATTGATTGTTTCAGGAGCGGGCCATTTCAACTGGCTTCAGCCACCTGGCATGCTAGGGTTTGGCTTGGTAAACACGGTCGGCGCGCGTAGACTACACAATTGCAAGAAATTGCCTCTGCGCAACATGTATGTTGCTTCATGCTGCTTCACGTTTTTCACCGCTGTCGTTTCTGAGGTGATTCAGTCTTTGGGTCCTGCGCCCGCTTTAGATTTGAGCAAAGTTCATCTGAGTTCAACCCCGGGGCCTGGCGACAAGCCAAAACTGGATCACTGTTTGCTGCGGTTGATCTGTGCCTTCAAGACCCCGTCGCCCATGCGTTGCACATCTTGCTCCGAGCATTCGATCCACTGACCCCTTTTCCACATCCACCTGCAAAAGGGTCGTTTCTCCGTAAAAGGGACAAATCTGAGTGACAACAAGATTGGCTTGGCCCACGGCAGCGAATCTTTCCATTTGCACCAAACAGGGCAGTCAGGAAGAACCCTGCAAAGCCACTAGCCATTGGCAATTCAAGTTGACTGCAAGTATCCGATATGTTCATATATTTTTGCTGTCAATAAAAAAACCAAAGAAGAAACATTTATTGAGACACCGCACACACATAAGCATTCCATTGTCAAGCGCGCGTGCCTTACTTGATTCACGCCAACCGTTCGAATTGTTTGCCATCGCTCCATGTCACACCAGGCGCGCAGCCAAGACTGAGCCGAACGCAGACCCTTGAACCTCTTCTGACTGAAGTATTGCCAACAAATGATGCGCATAAAGTGCAAAGTGCACTATGATACCAAAAAGCACGGGCTGCAACATGCCAGTGACACATTCCCAACCCAAGCTCGAGGCCACCCACGCCAGTGAATAGCGAGATGCAGGGCGTTTGCCCGTGCCCCGCAACCTGAAACACAATGGTTTTGACTTCTCAACAACTGGGTGGCACCCAGCCTGTGAAAGGCGGTCAGCAGAAATTGGCCGGCCAGGGTCAGTCCAACCAAGCGGTAAACCTGGCCAGCAAGAAAAAACAACGATGATGCAAATACTACCAAGCTGTACAAAGAAGGAACACCCAGTCAACCAAAAGCTCAAAACCAGATTCAAGCGAGCCCAGTTTGCCCGAAAACCACTCAGCTGCTGAAGGGTTGAGGAACTCACCAAACGCCCTGCCCTCTGCTTTTACTGCAGAAGTGTACCCGTCCCAGTGACGAATTTGATTCGCCAAATCCTGGCCGCAGGCCATGGATGCACACACATTACAATAGGAAACCATTTCCCAAGGCCGCAACTGTAATTCCTCTGCTTGATACAGCACTTTTGGTGCAACGGTGGCATGCACCAAAACAACCTTCAGATCTGACAATCATCTTTCACACAGTTTTGAAAACATAAGGGCTAGACAAACATGGACCCTAGCTGAGAACTTGGCGAATGATACCCCACGCACGGAACTGGCGGGTTCCCACAAACAGTCGCGCCCCGTTCTGCTTCCGGCCATTGCCAGTGATCTTCCGGATCCGGCTGACCTCAAGCAAGTTGAGATCATTCATGTGGAGCAAACATATGTTCACAACCCTGGGCCAACCAGAAGCGTGGCAACCACCAGGCCGATCACTCCTAGCTTCAAAAAACTAGCCAAGCGCCTGGCCATCTTCAAGTTCAGAGGTTTCACAGATTCCAGGGGAACATCGATGGGCCGCATCTTGTTCAAAGTTATCTCCCCGTGACGCGGCATAGAAACCTGCAAATAGGCTGGAGACAACACCGCAAACACAAAACCGCAAAGCATGGCCTCCTGAAATTTCTTGCGCACAAATGGCTGCAGTTGTTTGAACTTCAGCTTGAGGTGGGTCTTAGTCACCTCTCAGGCTTTACACAAAACATGTCTTCTAGCCGAAACCTGTCAAAGTTCACTGAAGCCTTCTTTGTCACAGTCTCAGGCCGCTGGTCAACTTGGCGGCCACATGCTTCCCCTTCGGAGTCAGACCTGAGTGTGGGCCACAAGAAAACTCAAAAATGGGTAACAACAAAAGGGTTAATGAGGCTGCCACAAATTGTCAACAGCTGTGAATGTCATGCTGACGAAACGGCAGGTTCTTAAATTGAGCCAGGCGGAGGTCTTCCAAAACGACGTGACGCCAAAAGACTGTTCAGGTCTTGTTGCAAAAAGTTGCTGAATGAGTTGCAAAGCAAATTCAATGGAGCACTTCACACAATCATTTCACTCTGCCACCTTTTGCCAGCCTTAAGACTGAAAGGAAAAGGAGGAAGAAGAAGGGTCGCACGCCTTGCCCTTGCCCTGATCCGCTCTGTGCTTGGAGGCACCTTCGACCAAAGTGGCCACGTCTTCCCTGAGCCGCCGGATCTCCGTCACCACTTCTTCCCCCAGCGTGTCCACATCACTCCGCAAGCGCTGGAGCCACCACACACACGCGCCGCACGCCGCCAGTAGCAACAGGCTTGCCATGGACAACGGTTCGGTAGCAAGAGTCGGTAGCAAGAGAAGCTGTGAAGGAGATTCAGGTGTGCGAGGCAGCTGCGGTGATTTCCAGTAAAACCCACAATCACTGAAAACAGATGAACCTGTGTAAAAAATTGCACATAGAATTGCTGATTGAAACAAGGTTGACACGTCCACACCGGCCACTCAAAATGAGGGCACGCCTCTGGGCGAAGGTGTTTAGCACCTACTACTAATTACGCGCCTACTACTAATTAATGTGGGCTGGGGTTTCAAAATTGCGCGCTAATGCTACAAGCCCTCAAAAACAAAGGACCATTGACAACTCCCTAAGTGTGTCCACATTAAAGCCAGGATGATTTCACAACCCTCATCAAGTGCCAGGATTGACAACCATCATGAAGTGCTGCCAGGATTGACAACCGTCATGAAAGTGCTGTGTCACAGCACACATAAAGCCCAGGAATTCAAAACCCCCATCAAGTTCCAGGGTTGACAGCGTCATGCCGCAGCTCACAGAGCCCAGTGTTTGACAACCCAATAGACTGGACTGTTTGACAGCCGAAATGGTATTGTGTGCCACAGTTACAAAGCCCAGGATTTGACAACCCGAATGCATTTGCCAACCCGTTTGCAAAGAAAACTCCTTAAAGAAGGAAAAACTTGTACTTCTCGGTGAACTCTTGCGCTGATTGCGAGCTGTTGGATCTCCGCCCAACACTAACCAGGCACCTATGGCTTCCGCACGTGTGCGCGGCCGGGCCACCAACCAGGGGATTGGGTCACGTCCCCAAAGGATCCTGGAGCCTCAAGCAAGAGCCGAAGCAATTGCTATCCTTGGCTCCGCTACCATGCGGATCCTTTTGCCAAGCTGAAATGGCGGCCTTCATGTAACACCTTTGGTGTACGACATGTATGCTCATGGATGAGTGCTTATCTGTTTCATTCGCAAATAGTCATTCTGCTAGATTCCCATTGGCTTTCACCACATGGTGCTTTTAAAATCAACAAATTAACCAAAAATACAGAATAGCACGACTGCCCACTGGATTCGCTTTAAAAGTGCCAATGTGTATCTGAGGTCGTGTTCTGGATATCTTTCATGATCAAACCTAAAGCCACTCGTGGACCCCAAGTCACTGGTCACTGGCTGCTCCATCTCTGGCAAGATGAACACACAAAGCTTGAGCCGTAACAAACTCCCCAGCGAGAGCTGTGAGTTCCTCCCACGGCTGGTCTGAGACAAAAGAGGACGACCGTGGACGAATTGCTGAATGTTCTGCAACGGCCTCCAACTTAATAGCGTCCTTGCTCCTAGTAGCGATGCCCCTTGTTACTAGTAGCTTCTTGCTCCTAGTAGTACGGCCAGGAGCCCCTAGTAGCGTCCCTCCAACCCAATAGCGATGGCTTGCAACGCCTATGGACGAATTGTTGAGTTCGTGAAAATATCATTGAGCTGGTAGCTCTACAAAGCTCTTCTTCCCAGCTCTCCGCAGCGTATTCGAACTGGCTGCGAGTCAGTACCCAGGTCAAGGTCAGGAAGTAGGATAGAAGGAATCAGGCTGCGTCACAGACTTCTGACAATCTCATGTTCAATTTGTTTAGATTGTAGGTGAGTTGAAGTCCGCTGCCAATGATTCCGGCATCCACTTTGCCCTACGCTCCCAGTTCTGGTCCGGGAAAGTAGGACTGCCAGGTGGCCACGACCTCTGTACACTGTACATTGCACTGTTGGCACACGACTGCAGCCCCTGGAAAAGCGAAGGAAACGGTCCGGGCCAACTCCTTCCCAACTGAAGTTGTGGCCCCTTGCAGGAACGCAAATGGGCTAACCTGCGGCAAAGAAACTCAGGTTAGTTTGCCCTTTCACTAGAGCTCCCACAGCTCCTAGCCGAGTGTGGGCCCATGGTCCATTCCATGCAACAAACTGGAATTGGACTCAACTGCCTTAACTAGCGCCACCAACTGTTACTTGCTACTTGCAGCAACAACGACAGCTACTACAAATTACCTTCCCTTCTAATCCTTTCTTTCCTTTCCATTCCTATCTCATTCTTGCTTTCTGTCCTTCTTCTACTACTAGGAACAAGTGCATCGCTTCTAGTAACAAGTGCCTTACTAGTAGTAACAAGGTTCGCTACTAGGAACAAGTGCATCGCTTCTAGTCACAAGTGCCTTACTAGTAGTAACAAGGTTCGCTACTAGGAACAAGTGCATCGCTTCTAGTAACAAGTGCCTTACTGGTAGTAACAAGGTTCGCTACTAGGAACAAGTGCATCGCTTCTAGTAACAAGTGCCTTACTAGTAGTAACAAGGTTCGCTACTAGGAACAAGTGCATCGCTTCTAGTAACAAGTGCCTTACTAGTAGTAACAAGGTTCGCTACTAGGAACAAGTGCATCGCTTCTAGTAACAAGTGCCTTACTAGTAGTAACACGGTTCGCTACTAGGAACAAGTGCATCTGTGAAACAGGAGTTCTCCTAGGTGCCTGCTCTTCCAAGGTGTTAGGTACGTTGAGGCTAGGCTGAAAGAGCCCGCCTTTTGGTTTTTTGGCTCAAGGTGCAAAGCGCACGAAGCCTGACAGCCTCGACTGTGTGGCGAAAAGTCAAGCGGTGTTCTCGAGCCGACACGTCGCTTTCGCAGTTGGGGGCTGTTCTGGGAATCTCGGTGTCAAAGACCCCAGGATAAGCAGTCGAGGCCTCAGGCTCACTGCTGAGATGGCAAAGCAAGTCCGAGGATACGAAGGGACCTTGCTAGAAGCTATCGAGGCAGGTGTGGTGCCGCGGCCTGAAAGGTTGCGGTACAGGGAGTGGCTTGCTTGGCGGGCAGCGGAAGGACAAAGGCCTTCGCGTCGCCGTGGGGATACCTCACGTACCACTACAAACGGTGAAGAAGCGGAGCTGTGGCGCGAGGTCATGCGCGCGCTCCATGAGGAAGACCCAGGAGAAGCAAGTGAAGGAAGTAGCGACAGTCAGGAGGAGGAAGAGCTGCTGAGTGCGGACGACGGGACTGGAAGGGACCGTGCGGCCACCGGCGCCGGGAGATCGACAGAACATCCTGACAGGTTTGCGCTGGAGGATGGGAGAGCGACTCCTGCTTCTTCTACTGTCGGCAACGAAAGTGTGTTCAAGGCACCAGTTACTGCCGAAGCACTTGAGCACGCAATGGCACGGCCTTACGATGGGAATAAAGAAACAGCAAAGAAGTGTGCGCGAAGGGTTTACCGAATTGCAGATGTCCTGCAAGAAATGGGAGCTGAGGTGGACATGCAAGAAGTGGAGCTCAAGGTGGCTCGCGCCATTTTTTCAGAAAAGGTTCAGGGGCAAACGCCTGAGGAACAGCTCGCCTCTCTCAAAGAGTTTTTCCGCGAGTTATTGTTGGAAGATCCACCTGAAGAGCAAGAAGGAGAGCATGAAGCACGTTTAGAAGTCCTGTTGCATATGATTCAGGAGAGAGGCGGGAAACTCAGCAAAACCATGGGAAAGGTCTTCTCTTCAAATGAAGGGACGCCTGAAAAGAGCGGTCCGTCGAAGGTGTTGGACTACACTCCAGCGGGCAGGGGCCGCGGAGAAAGCTCTCCTGTGGGCTTAGGCCACGGAGATGGGTTTCGAAGCCCAGCTATCGAGAGGCCAGCCGCAGAAGTGGCGGATCTCAAGCGGCGCGTCGCCGAGCTGGAAGGAGACGCTCGGTCCGAGGCTAGTAGGGGTGTAGATGTGAGCGCTTTTGCTGAAGCCATCGAGAAACAGACGAAAGTCATGGCCGAAGCACTCGGAAAGAAACAGAAGCGCTCGACCATTCAAGTCAGCCCAAAAGTCCATTGGCCCACGTTGGATGATGAGTGCAGCGACTACCGGTCAGTCCAGGAGTTCTATGACTCTTTCGAAGCCACGATTGGGTTAGCAAATGATGGGGACGGGATGACTGACATGGAAAAGCTCACCACGTTGAAGGCATGCTTGAAGCAGCACCGTTTGAAAACGTATGAGCTGATTTACCGCAAGAACCTCGGCTCGGGAATAGTCAAGGAAGATCCTGGCGAGGTGTACAGGCAAATCAAATCCAAACATTTGATGTTCTCCGAGACTGCGGAAGAGAAAGAGATTCGCGTCTTGGAAGAAGGTGATGCCCTTCAGAAAGGAAAACTCTCCGCCTTCCAGTGGGAAGTGCGATGGGAGTCTCACCTGGCGGATCGAGACAGCGTTGGGCTTGGTCTAAACGCGAAGGAAGCCTTGATCCAATATTTCAGGAAGATTGGGCCCGCGCTTTCCCGCGACGTAAGACGTGACAGACGTTTTCGGCCAGATGGGTCGGGGGGAAATGTGTTCCGCGCAGTTGCGACATGGGAGGAGGCTCATGAAGTCGTAAAGGAGATAGAGGAGACAAATGCAGGACAGAAGGCGCTAAACAATAGCACGTTTGCCGTCAAGCAGGTTGGAAAGGATGGCAAGAAGGGAGCAGATCAGATTCACGCGCAAGGCTCGGAGTCCTTAGCGGCAAAGGTGTGCTATGAAATGCGGGACAAGGGCACTTGCTCCCGCGGAAAGGATTGCAAGTTCTCCCACGACAAGGCAGTCGTGGACGAGGCAAGAAGGAAATGGGTGAAAGAAAAGAAGCAGCAAGAACGGCCTTCCGAAGAGCCAGTAGCCAAGTACGAAGGAGGGCGGAAAGGAGGAAAAGGAAAAGGTAGTGGCCGAAAAGGGGCGGATCAGGCAGGATCCAAGGGTGGGCAGGACGACCGTAAGTCCAAAGCGTGTAGATTCTTCAACACTGCCGGTGGCTGCTCAAGAGGATCCAAGTGCCCGTTTAGTCACGCCTTGCAAAAGGGGTCTGGAGGTCCTCCAGGAAAAGGCAATTCTGGTCCTCACCTTCAGCTCGCTAACCTCCCGGACCTCCGTGGTGTAGATGGAACTGGCAGAGGCATGGAATGCAGTAACCCTTTTGGTTGTTTTGAGCCTGTGGTGTGCAGTGGGAACGGCCGAAGCCAAGCGACCGAAAAGGTGCTGGCTACAGATCCCAAGGCCAAAGGCAAGACAGGGAAGGCCGGGAAGCAAGGAAAAGGAAAAGGGAACAACAATGATCTGACAAGTCTGGATCAGCTCCCGCAGCGTTGGTGGACTGAGTCGCCAAACTGCAAAGGGGGGTACCAGTACCAGACAGAGGTCAAAGTGCTGGATAGGTATGTCGGATGCTTATTGGATGGCTGCGCAGGGTGTAATTCAATCACCGAGGAAGTAGTGATGGGAGCCATCCGAGCAGCTTTGCAGCAAGGGATCGGGCCGGACAGTGAAAAGTTTCCGGTGGCCCAATTAGAAAGATGGCCGCAAGAAGAAGTCGTGATGGGTTTGGCAAACGACGCCCCTATCAAGCTGAAGGGTGCGGTCGTGATGCGCGTTCAGATGCCTGACGTGAACGGCCAAAAGGTCGAAGAGATCCTCGTACGGGCAAAGGTAATCGGCAAAGGGTTGTCGACGTGGCAAGGCCTGATCCTCGGCGGCCGGGCGCTGGACGCGGTGGAGCGCGGCGGACTGGGTTTTAGGCCAGCAGCGTCGTGCCATGTGTTTGACGGCTTGGGAGTGAAATTACCTAGAAAGGAGGAGATGGAGCCGTTTCCAGACCGTGCCTATCCATTTGTCTCTATCCCAAAGACCCTGTTCGATCAGGCATGGGATCCGGACGAAGAAGGTGACGAGGTCAAGATGGAAGGCGAAGTGTTCGTCAGTGAAGAGGACCTCGTGATGGAGCCGATGACAGGGGACTGGATCAGAGTGACCAGTCAGGAAGGGACATCTAGGCGGCAAGTTTCCGAAGGAGACACCGTGATTCTGCCCTTCGAAGGAGCAAAGGCTGAAGTGGTGCCAGGGATCTGGGACCCGAAGCAAGCTGAAGGTCAGGTATACGTGGCTGCTCAGGACACAGAGATCGTCATCTCAAAAGGGGATCCACTCTGTGTAGCCGTTCGAGCTGGAATCGAGCAGGAAATCTGCCCGACTTGCCAGGTTGTGGAAGCAGCAGCCTGGATCTCAGGTCCAGAGTGTGAGGCGTGCAAGGGAATGCAAGTTCCTAGATGCGGGACAAATGGTCTTTGCAAGAGATGTGGAAGTCGCATGGTCGGAAGAGAGCAGAAACGTTGTGCTCGATGCAGACCGCAGCAGGCAAATGGCAAGCCGCAAGTGGTGCTGCTCCTAGCAGGCCTCATGGCGTTCTTGACGGCAGGGGTTGCGGCCGAAGGCGCGCCCGAAGCTGTAAGTAAAGGAGTGACATCTACATGGAAGCCGGCGCAAGAATCAGTTTTTCACATTGTAGAGACTCCAGGGGCTTTGGACCTCATGGCGGAGGAGAGTCCAACGGACGAGTACTATCATCTCTTACGGGATGATATGGAGAAAAGGTATCCGGAAGCCTCAATCCATCTGTTGGACCACCTTGAAGCCCTGGAGTCCTTCCTAGATCGGAGTATCATCGCAGGGATGACGTTTGGCATAGACAAGGCAAGCGTCGCTGTTGTGGAAGGCGAGCTGCTAGGACATGTCGTCGGACGTTCTGGCGCCCGAAGCAACCCTGAGCGGACCAGGGCGGTCGCCGGGTTTCCGCCTCTGAAAGAGAAACTCCATATCCAACAATTTCTTGGATGCACAAATTTCTTGAGAAATTACCTCCCTCCACAGTATGGTTATTGCGCAAAAGTGCTTGGCCAGTATATGAAGGGAACAGAGAAAATCCCAGAAAGCGGATTGGGCCCTGGAGATACTCTCGGGGACAAAGCAGTAAAAGCGATAAAACTGATGGCTCGGCGGTCGATCGAATTGGCCGTCCTGGACGAAGCAAGTGCGATCACCCAGGAAAGACCATTAGAGCAGATAGCAGACAGCTCTGGGTATGCTATCGGGGGTTCTGCGCTGCAAATGCGGGCGGACCTGTCAGGCTTCAACGTTTTGGTCACCCATAGCAAGGGGTTGACGCCAGCCCAGCAAGCCTGGGCCCCCTTGTCTTTGGAAGGATACGCGCAGTTGGAGGTACGAAGAGCGGTGAAAAAGATCCTGGGGCCGATCCGGTCGATATGTTGGACAGATCACAGTAATTGGACAAGACAACAGATTGCCGAAAATGTAGAGCCTAAGCATCTCCGGTGGTTGAGTGAGATCCTGGCTGATGGTTCAGAACTCCGGAGTTTGTCCGGGAGAAGTGCGAAACTGGGAGATGGCTACTCGAGGAACCCGCCCGAGAGGGATCAGCTTCTGGAGCAAAGAAGCAAAGATCTGGAAGGACTGATAGGTCAGTTCCGCGGATTCTCTTTGGAAGGGTATCTCGGGGAAGAGGCAAACGACATCTTACCTTGGTCGATCGGGGAAGGAGTTCTGCCGGAAGCAGAAAGCCCGGATAGCCAGAAGGTGGTGTCGACGATCGCCAGTTTCGTCACCAAATTCGGGAATGACAGAGAAATGCTCAGAAAGAACATGTGCGCAGCGGGAGTATCATCAGATCTCCGCGTGCTTTATGTCCCAGATTATGTATCGGGGGCAGCAAGGCTGAGACAGACGCAAGAGTTAAGTCGGAAGTTCCGGGCGACGTTTCCGGAATGTGAAGTCAAAGTCTCGCTCTCAGAAGGGCCGTTCGAAGACCCGGAAGGGCATGGCTGCCATTTTGAAAAGCAAGGGAAGCAGAAACTGTCAGGGCGAAAGCTGTCGAATGCTACTAGGGTCGACTTGTTGACCTCGGTAGCCACCTTGCTTAGGAATATCAGCCATTACAATCCCCATGTGATCGTGGCAGCAGGTCAGGGCGCCGTCATAGGATTGGCAGCGGCGTCCCCGGTAGTAGTGGAGACGGTGATGCTGTCCAGAAATATTCAGCAAGGAGAAGCCCACAAACTAGCGACTGCTTGGGCAAAAGTGAAGATCATTGCAGGAGTCAACCCGAGGATTAGCAAAGCAAATCCAGGTTGTGAGTTGCTCAAGGAAGCCTGCCCGGAGATGTTCAAGCCACATCCCCTGGAAAGTATTCCCCGACTAGGCCTCTTAGAAGGAGAAGTTCCGAGGAAAGAGGAAATCCGGGAATTCCTGGGAGCGGCAGGAGTAGTGCTGGTGGAGACGTGGGATTCGATCTTGTGGAAGGGATGGCTGGAAAAGCCTTCAAAAGATATTTGGGAGCATGGTGGGTTGTGTGCCTGCGGTCGGAGGACGCGGCTTTTCGGGCAGTGCATGGAGTGCATCGCCCAAGAGCATTCCGAAGATAAGCTTGCAAGGGCTTTGAAAGAGGAAGAAGAATGCGTCGAAGAAGACCAGGGAGCTAAACGAGAAGGGCTCATACAGAGTTTCAATCTCAAGGCAGAGATAGAGAGAGATGAAGACACGGGGTTGGAGAAGTTGACGAAAGGAGCAGAGGATTGGCTGGATCAGAGATACCGAGAAAGGGAAGCTGTGGCAGAAGAGGCCAGAGGAGCTTCAGGCTCTCGGCTCGGAGTAGGCCAAGACTTAAGGAACGCTTGGTTCAAAGATCAAAGAAGCGATCCCAAGCTGCTTCCAATCATCCAATCTTGTTGGAAGAAGAAGGAATCCAGATTCCGAATTGCAGATGATGGACTGCTGGAGAGACTCGTGCATAATGTGGACGGAACAGGCGCTGAGAAATGGGTGCCAGTAGTTCCTGAAGGGGAAGCGGCCCATATGATGACCTGGCGAGAGTTTTGCGCAAGACAGGTTCACGCGGGTGTCATGGGGGCACACAGGAGCGGAAGCAAGATGCTCACCCTGTTGCGACGTACCTGCTGGTGGGAAAACATGGAAGTAGACTTGGATAAGTTCAGCGACAATTGCCTTACGTGCATACGGGGGCGAAAACGTCCGGCTAAGCAGCAGGCAGTGGCAGTGAAGCCTTCTTGGTTGGAGTGTTGGGAAGAAGTCGCGGTGGATTTCGAAGGCCCAATGCATCCAGAAGATGCAGCAGGTAACAGGTTCATCCTGTCCTATATGTGCTGCGCGTCGCATTCCATCATGCTGGAACCTTGCAAAGCTTTGACGCAGATGGAAGTGAGAAGGGCTTTTTCTAAGTTGATGTTCCGGAGCAGGACTATCCCAAAGGTGCTACGCTCAGATCGAGGCCAAGAATTCCAGAGTACCTTAATGAGAGAGTATTGTGCGATCCTGGGTTTGCGGCAAAAGTTCAGCGCACCCTTGAGGCCCTGCGAGCTGGGTGCTACGGAACGAATCCACCAGGAAACCCAGAAAGTGTTAGGTTTGATGGTGCACGGTGTGTGCAAGGCGAGACCTCACGAATGGGGTGAGCTCTTAGGAGTGGTGGAGTTTGTGTTGGATACCACCCCTGGGCCGTCAGGGATTGCGCCTCGAGATTTTGAAAGAGGCTGGAGTATAGCGTGTCCTCTGGAACGAGAACTCTTAGGTCAATCAGTGTGGGAATTTGAGCCCGTAGAAGAGCATACAAAGAAACTGTTCAGGTCTTATCGGGAGATCCGTGTGAAGGTGCTGGGTCGGTATGCAGCCTCTTCTGCCAAAAGGGCGGAACGAGCCAACAGGTTCAGAAAGGTCAAGGTTGTGGAGATCGGAGACCTCGTGGTCTATCGCGACCCGCGCCTCCGATCTGGAGGGCGAACGCCTTGGCGCAAGCAACTTTCTGAACCCTATCGAGTCGTAGCGCAGAGAGGTAACCGTGTGGACCTGGAGTCACCGGTTGAGGGCGGCGTTCGTGGGGGTACGTCTTCTTCTGCGCGTCGCCTTCTTCGCGATGTGCACATGGAGGATTTGTTGCTCGTGCCACCGGACGCCCTAGAAGTGGAAGCAAAAGCAGCGTGCCAGTTTGAAACTGAGGACTCCCCCATGGCAGTCCGCTCACCCGGAATGATGTTAGAGGAACGCGGGCGAGCGACAGCTGCCGCGGAAGGCGTAGTGCCAGGGAGGGCGAATAAAAGAACAAGCCAAGGAAAGCTTGCGTCACTTCGTGTTGGGAGTTTGGTTGCGTACGCCGCCGATAGCATTCGGGCAAACGTGCCGGACAACAAGCACGTCAAACGGTGCAGAGTGGGGCAGGTACGAGACATTCACCCAGGGGTGCAGCAGCTACAAGTGCATAGGTACCAACCGTTTGCCGATGGCAGGTTGAGAGTGTTATGGAAGCCCATCTACTTGTCGGCTGGTACGAAAGAAGAGACTTTTGAAGCCTTGGGGAATGAGCCGCTGATCGAAACAGTTTTCCTGCAGCGCGTGATCACCGAAGTGTTCCTGAACAGTGGCGTAGTGAATCATGCTTCAGCGCGGCGGATTGATGCCAGCGGCTATCGAATCGATGAGCGGAAGTCGCCATCTTTGGTTAAAGAAATGGAGCAACTCCATTGCGCTGCGGTCCAGCAGTCATGGGTGCAAGCCCATGCGACATTAGTGGCCGTAACTAGCCCTGAACGAACGTTGGAGCGACCAGAAAATGGCGACGGTATAGGCGGCCTAGAAGGAGGACCAGAGCTCGAGGCGTTGTTGGAGCAGAAGCACCAGGAGGCATCCAGGAAGTGGAAGGCATTTGCCTCAGCGAAGCAGTGGGACGAAGTACGGTCGGATATGAGTGCGTACCGATTCAGCGGAGAGGTCCCAGCTTCAGACCCGAGACGTACGGAAGAGTACCGGAGTTCCGTCGTGTCTGGCCTGGGTTTCGCTCCCGACAAACGGGATTCAAAAGGCTGGTTGAATGACCAGGAGTTCGCCGCTTGCCGAGAGGTGCTCCACAGGAAGGCGGCAGCCTTTTGGGTCCCACAAACTTTGCGCACCACGGTGCGTCACGTTCAGCATGATACCATTCCAACGGGGCCGCCCGTGAAGACTCCGCCACATCGTTTGTCGCCAGAAGCTGCGGAACGGATAGACAAGAAGATAGAAGAGGAGGTGGCGCGAGGTCAGCTGGTTCGTGGGAACTCCCCATGGGGTAGCCCACCGTTTCCGACTAAGGAGATGCCTTCGCATAAGCGGGCCAGAAAAAGAAGGATCGTGGTGGACTATAGGAGAGTCAACGCCCGAGTTCTTCGAAATTCATACTACAGCAGGAAAGCTTCCGAGGTAATCCTGGAAGCGGCAGGATCGGCATTCCTCAGCATGTTAGACGCCGTCACCGGGTTCAATCAGGTAGAGAACACCGAGAGGGCGAAGAGGGTCCTGGCGCTCGTTTCTCGAAGCGGCCAGTTCTTGCCAACGTGTTTGACCTTTGGCCCGCAGAATGGACCGGAAGATTTCGCGTATGTCGTGGATAGGATTTATGCTCCAGGCAAGCATCGCAGAATGCGCTTGATGAAAGAATGGCTGCCATATGTGGACGATCTGACCATCCGTTCCGGCAGGGTTCTAGATGGAGTCGTCTATCGCGACAAAGAAGTGACTGCTCGCGTCCGGCAGGCGATCGAACGATCTTCAGTGCAGGAGCAGCAGATCACGGAAGCTTTAGAAGCCTGCGGATTTCGCTCTCGCGGCCTGGGCGCAGAAAGCAGTCCAAGCCAACAACTGGTAGGCCCAAAGCGGCCGGTACAAAAGGAAGCGCAAAGAAAAGGCTAAAACAAAGAAGACGGTAAGACCGGCGAGTCAAGCGCTAGTAAGATGAGTTCCCTTTGCGACCAAATAGGTGCGGGGAAGAGCAGGTACGACTTTCCCGACAAACAGGGAGGTGTAGAACCAGAGGTTTGCAAGGTTCCTCCCCCGGTGGCTCTTGTAGAACGAGTGTTGACGGTTGAGTGGGGTGTTAGGAGTTGGGGCAATCCTCAGGAAACCCGGGTTCCTAGTTGCAACAATCCCACTAACGTTTCCCGCAGCCATTTGCTGGTTCAACGGGCGGTGTCTAGCGAGGCCGTAGAGAGCTTGCTACAGACGCCCACCAGAGGCGATAGGAAGGGTAACAAGGAAGGGGACGAGCGACTACTGACCTGCGGGCGCACCCTGCCGCGGTCCGTGAGTATGGGCGGAGAAAAGGGCAAGGGCCGAGGAAAGTTCAAAGGCCTCTGGGATGTTTGGGCGGGGCAGTGGAATGTTGACGAAGTCAGCCGAAGGATCACGAAGCTGCTCCGGCATGGGAGAGACCTCTCAGAGCAAGAGAAGGTGCAGCAGATCAGCGCGGCTGGGTGGTCTGCCGCATCTTTCGTGCTGCGGTGCCTCAACATCATCCCAGATCAAACAACGGATGAGCTGTTAGTGAGAGCGGCAAAGGAGTCTGGAGGGCGTCTGGAGACCAACTGGACGTCATTGGGGCTCTACGTCCGGGCGCGTCATAGCTGGAGTCTTCCCCACGTGAGGGAAGGATTACCCCTGGCGATTTTGGAGCAAGAGCCCTCTGTCTTGTTCCACGGAACCTCGCGTGTCGCCTGGCAAGGGATCTTGGGGTCTGGTGCTCTGGTCTCAGAGGCGACCCTGCACGGAGGTCATGGTAGAACCGATGTGCACCTTGTTCGCCAACCAGAAGCGATCAAAAAGGGAAGTGAAGTGATGATCTGGATTCCCACCAGGTTGTTGGGTCGGATCGCCCTGAGAGCCCAGCATCCTGTCTTCGCGAACGAAAAGGCGATTTACTTCAGCTTCCCATTACCAGTTGGGGGTATGTGGAAAGTTACAGCCGTAGATACAAAGGAAGTAGTCTGGACAAATGACGCCATGACACCGAGCAGAGCAGACACGCCGCAAAGCACCCCTAGGGCAGCGGACCAAGTGGTCGCGCCTCAGGCAAGTAATGCAGGTTCAAGGGCCAGAGAAGAGAGCCCAGAATCTTATGAAGAAGGAGAGTCGTCGTATGACGAGGAAGATGAAAGCGAAGCAAAGAAGAAGCCAGGAGAGAGTTCCGCCGAAGGCTCAGAGGAGACGGCAGGTCCTGGAACCGCTGAGGCTACAGAAAAAGGGGGTGGAGAACGCCCGGGGCCGGCTTTTCCACTGCCGACAGAGCCTAAAGCAGGGCTGCCGAAAGTAGCTGCTGCGGACAGTGCCGGGACCAGTGCCGAAAAGGATTCGCCTCTGCAAGAGGACAGGCCACGGAGTTCGCAAGGAACAGCCGCGATACGGTATAAGGCTGCTCCGGCGTGTTTGAAGGCCACAGTCAAGCAAGAAGTCCTAGAGAGCGAGAGGCCTAGTGGTGCGGCGGCAGCGGAGTCAGTGACAGTGGAGAAGGGGGCCACCAAAGAAGGGAGCTTATCCCATGAAGTAGTGGAAGTAAAGGAGGAACCTGGAGCGGCTCAGAGCGCCCAGGAAGAGAGCGTGAATGAAGGACCTGGTGCGGCTCATTGCGCCCAGGAGGAGAGCACGGGTAAAGGAAATCCGAGCGAAGAAATTCGTGAAGGAGGGGACCAAGTCGAAGCCAGCAGTTCGAGAAAGACAAAGGAACTTGGGCCTTCCGCTGAGCAAGTCAAGAAAGAAGCGGAAATGACGGTCCCGGTCGGGCAGGATGGGGCAGTAGTCGAGCTGGAACAGAAGCCAGACTCTTCACCCGATTGGGGAACTTCTTCAGCTTCGGAGAGCAGTCAAAGATCCCGGAGCACCCGTCGGAAGCCCAGTCCGACTAGAGAAGCATCCAGCGGTCAGGATGACGCGGATGGATCAGCCCGTCAGGTGGTCTTGCAGGCGAGGCCAGCAGAGCCGGCAATGCCACCAGAAGGGGCAGCAGGAGTACGTAGCTCCACGGCGTCCCGTCGAGACACCGTGCGGGCGCATATGGAAATGCACGGATCAGTGACGTGCCCGAGGTGTGGCGAAGAGAATGCGCAGTGGAGAGTGAAGTGTTATAAATGCAACCTGGAGAGAGCGGACGCAGGTGCAGTTAGGAGCGAGTTCGAAGCTCCATACCACCGCGGGCATAAGAAACGCGGGAAGAAAGGCTCGGCGCGCTCCTCACACACCTGGAGAGGCGGCTGGAGCTCGGATCGCCAAGGACAAGCCACTGCATCGAGCTCGGAGGACTGGCGACAGGGCTCATGGGCTTCGCAGGATTGGCAGAACGACGCCTGGGCGCCGGAACGCTGGCAAGGTGGCGAGTGGACGTCGCAAGACTGGGGAAGCGGATGGAAGAGAAAGTACGATCCAACGTCCGGAACGGACGAGAACCATCCGTACGCGCATGCCGGGCAGGAAGTGGCGTGGTCAGGCGTGAGAGTCGCCCGGCAGACAGGGGAGAGCGCTGCGGCCATAGTGCGCGCGCTCGAAGGAGCTGTCGTGGCGGTTGTAGAAGCCGCCGGAGTACAGGCAGAAGCGACCGTTTCCAAGGTGTTCGAATGGATGGCCTTGATCTTGGCCTTGTGGGCTGTCTGGGCTTTGGGTAGATGGTGGAAGCACCAAGAAATGATGATGGCCGGGTTTAGCGCTGGGAAGAAGCGTGGGAAGAGAAACACCGATGCCGGAAAGAAGGGTGAACCCGAAGGGCAAGAGTTGTCGCCCCTAAGTGCACGAAGTGCCGCTTCACCTCTGCCCGCACCAAATTTTCGAACACTTCGCGCGAAGGCTAGGCTTGAGGAAGAAGGAAGAAGAACGAGATCGTTTCCGGCTCTCCCGCCTTCCACCACGACCCCAGTGCAGACGACAGGTAAGAGAAGAAGAAATCAGAGACTGGCTGGAGTTGAAACTCCTTCGATGAGCCCGGTCGGGAAAGAAAAGACCACCAAAGATCCAGCGGCCCAGTCGAGGGCGCGGACTGATGACCGTTCGGTGGTGCCAGAGAAGCCGATAGGGGCAGGACCAATCCGAACAATCGAGCTGCTACGAAGTGCTACCGAGGCGCAAGAGTGCGCAGTACAAGTGCTGACCTCTTGTGCGGCCGAGAGCGCCAAGAAGGAAGTCATGGTTCGGCTCACGGCGTACGCCATCGACCGGCCGGAGT